AGAGCGGGTGGGCGCGCTGGCCCGGCGCGTGCTGCGACGCGTTCACCAGCAGGTAGGAGCCTGCGGCGGGAGACACCATGAGCGCCCAGGACGGGGCCGTGGGCTCCTGGTCCTCCCGCCATCGCGCCGCGGCCCTCCCGCCTCAGCCCGCACCAGGCTGCTTTGAGGTTAAAATTTTTAAAAAATGAATCATAACGAGTCATTTCCTCCCCGAAGCAGCGGGGAAGGGAGCAGGGGGATGTTTCTTCTCTCTCGCGGCCTTTTTGCGCTCCCCAGCAAAGTTATTGCTGCAAAACGGAGGCATTTGTGCTCCCTTTGGGCCGCGCTTCAGCCAAGCGCCGTCCTCGACGCCCATCTCATCTGCCGGCTGCTGTTCATACAAAAAGGCCCTTTGGAAAACAGACGTAGGAAAAAAATAACTGAGAGTAAAATTAAATCACTGTGGAGACTCCGATGGACCCCACAGCCACCGATCCCGGCCCAGAGAGCGGTCCCAAGGCACTCTATGGGAATATTTCCCGTATTTTCCGTATTTCTTTGCCAAGCTGGCAAGGATCCCCACGCTCGGTGTTTTTCCTCTTAAATATTTTCTTCCCAGCATCACTGTAACCGAGAAAGCGGGTTCGCGCTGCTCGCTTTTGCAGTAATTATGTCATCCCTGCAATGTCTTTTTTTTTCCCCGCAAATTGCTGCTACTGCTGCTAACTCCCAGCCTCGGCTTCACCTTAAGCTTCAGGGGATAGATTGTTTTTTTTTGCCTTAGAAAAAAAATAATAATGAAAGATAAAATGGACAAATTCTCCCAGGGAAAAGCCAGTCCCCAGCGCTGCCAAATGCAACTGGGATCATCGCCCTGACGAGGAGCTCGTCACCAACCCGCACAGCCAAGGGGCAGCTCAGGCAGCGACAGGATGCGGGATCGTGAGCCAGGACCTTATCTCCCACTAACGAGGCAATTAAGGAAGCACTCGTCTGCAGGAGTATTTATCTGCTCTAAACGGATAAATCAAGTGAGAGGATAGAGGTGCTGCTGGCAAACCAGCTCCACGCAGCCGTCTTGAGCATCGTCCTGCTCCGGGCAGTACCCTGGGGTTGCAGCGCGCTGAAGCGAAACACCCGTCTGGATTTGAGCCTGCTAATTAGCCCTGGTTCTTGCAGGGCCTAACAGGGCTCTGGATGAGGCAGCGCATCCTGCGGCCCCAGGGAATTGCTGAAATTGCAAGGGCGAGGGTTGCTCCCCGAGCAAAAACGAGGGTTGCAACAAGCAGCATGGCGGGAGGCTGCGCAGCACCCGCGGGGGCAAGCGCCCTGCATTCCCGCCGTAAAGCGACAGATGCCGGCAGAGAGAGATGGGGCGGAGGGAGAACTCGCTCCACGCCACGGCAACAGCACAGGGAAACACGGAGGCAGCAGGAGACCAGCACAAGGGTTGCAGGTGACAACAGGGTGACAGCTGGCACATACACCATGACCATGCAAACATCTGGGTGGAGAGTCCAACCAGGCATCCGGCAGCCGCACAGCGGAGCCAAGGCAATGCCAAGCTCTACGGGGATGCTCCCAAGGCCCGGGGTGCCACGAGCCTCCGGCTCTGTAGTGGGGACATGGAGCAGTCAAATGGAAAGGCCCCGGGAGCGCAGCTGCCGGAGGGAAGCGGGAGCTCTCCAAGCTGCGGGAATGCGACAGCCTCGTACAGGAGTTCACCCCCTGCTCCCCGGAGCAGCTGGAAGATGACGCTGCTGTTGGGGTGAAGCAGTGGTGCTCCATGACACGACCTGCAACAAGCCACGGACGCAGCCCGCGCCGCAGCACAATGCGCGACGCGAGGGCTCTCGGCGGCTGCACGCTGCGCCCTTGCACTGACAAACGGGGCAGGAGACTCCGGGCCCCTTGGATTTGTTGCCCGTTAATCCTCCACCATGGCCCCGATCCCTGGGAAGTCCCTTCCCGTGGGAAGGCATCCTCCCCACCACACGCTTAGCCTCGTTCCAGTGACAGCTTCCATGAGGATCACCCAGCCTTCCCACCTGGGGCAATGGCGGGGCCGGAGCGAGAGCTCCGGGAGCTGCCAAATCCGGGATTTTACAGCTCGTCTCCATTCCTGCCAAGGGAGCAGGAGACAGCAAAGCAAGGGAGGCTCCTGCCTGCCCGCTCGGCTGGGCATCCAGGGCCACCAACCCTGGGAGGTCCCAGGGCAGCGCAGCAGAGCCCAGGGGACACCCAGGACATTTTGAGGCAGCCGGGGGGTTGGAGCAACATTGCAGCTAATCAGCACAGCTGTTTCCTTAAGTCCCATCCATATGTCAACATGTCCGTTAAAATCTGCTCTCAAACTCATGATAGGGAAATAAATGACTTCCGAATCAACCATGCAACCAACATCTGTGTTCAGGGATCACTGCATCAACCAGTGGGACGCTCCGGGTTGGGATGTCAGAGGCAAAGGCAAGTTCAGAGCCCTGCTTTAGGTAACAGCCATAGCCTAAAAGCTCCCGCAGCTCTGACGAGCTGGAGGAGCAGAAGCAGAACAGCCCATTCAGTCACTCGTGCAGCCCAAGCGCAGGCCCCACAGCACGGCCACGGCACCAGCTCCAGCAGGGCTCAGCCCCAGGCCAAGCAAACAGGTCCCCAGGAGCCACCAAAGGGCTTGCACTAAAGAAACACGTCCCCTTCCGCAGGCTCCCGGGCGCAGGAGGACATGGAGAATCATAGAATCCTTAAGGTTGGACGGGACCTCCAGGGATCATCTAGTCCAACCCCTGCACACACAGGGTCACCCAGAGCACGTGGCACGAAGGACACAGCAGGGGCAAGGGCAGCTGGAGGAGAGGTTCTTCAGACCTTGAGCACAAAGCCCTGGGAGCACTGCAAGAAATGCACCCGCCTGGGGCATAAAGAGAGGTTTTGCCCCAGCTTGAGCGAGCGGGGCCTGCTTGGTCTGGAGAAGGGAAGGAGATTTGATCAACATGTTCAAGTACCTGAGGGGTGAATGCAGGGAGGATGGGGCCAGGCTCTTCTCCGTGGTGGCTGGTGACAGGACGAGGGGTAACGGGTATAAGTTGAAATAGGAGGTTTAACCTTCACATGAGGAAAAACTTCTTTCCTGTGAGGGTGACAGGGCCCTGCCACAGGCTGCCCAGAGAGGCTGGCTCCTTCTGTGGAGATCTTCAAACCTGCCTGGATGCCACCCTGTGCCCCTGCTCTGGGTGTCCCTGCTGGAGCAGGGGGCTGGATTGGATGATCCCTAGAGGTCCCTTCCAACCTCAACTGTTCCGGGATTCTGGGATTCAGCTTGGGCAAACTTCAGCTTGGCTCAGAGCTGCAGAGGAATCAGCCCACGGCCCCAAGTCCACGCAGAAGAGGGGAGAAACATCCATGTAGCCAAGGAGAGCCCGTTAGCGCGGGCAGCCCAACCCACCCGGAGCCCGGGGTGCCAATTCCCTCCTCTGCCCCCGATCCACCCAAGGGCGGTTCCAGCGGGCAGATCCCAGCGCGGCGGCGCGGGCTCGGCAGCACCTTCAGCTCGGAGGGGCTCCCGGGAAGCAGCCAGCTGCTCAGCTCTGAAACACTCCGGCGGGGGAAGCTGCAGAGCGTTAGCGTGAAACAAAAAGGCCACAGAAATTTCTGGCTGCGTTTCCTATGGGAAAGGCATCGATTTGCTCCGCAGAAGTTGACCGCGAGGCCCAGCCGCAGCTCGAGCTGGCAGATTGGCTCTGGCCACGTGCAGAAAGCCTTGAGCTGCCAGAGCAGAGTCCCCGTGCAAGGTCTCTAGTCTGAATTGCTGATTAAGGGGGGAATCAGCCTCTCCATGGAGTCCAACTCGGTCTCCAAGAATAACCCGGCACCTCCGCAGACCCTGACCTTGAGCAGCAAAGCAGAGCGCCGCGTTCCCAAGAGGCGCCAGCTCCGGAGCGCAGCCTTGGGCGCGCCAAGACGGACAGCGCCGACGCGGGGATCCCCCAGGGGATCCGCAGCCTCCGAGAGCAGCCCAACCTGCTCCTCGCGCGTGCGCCGCGGGGCCGACCCCGCTCTGCTCCACCGGCACTTCCCCGCGGGAGCTGCATCGGAGCGGTGCCGGGAAGGTGTCAGGCAGCCCCGGGCACGTGCCAGCTGCCAGTGTGCCCTCCTCGTGGGCCATTTTCCAAAGGGAAAGCACCCGGGAAAGGGTGACCCCTTCCCCGCTGAAGCAGCGGGGACGTTTTGGTGAGCGCCCTTGGTGCTCCCCAGGGCATCCTCGTACAAGGACACAGGAAATCTAGGAATCGCCCATCTCCGAGGTGCTGGTCCATCTGTATTCACACCCTGCACATGGAGCAGCTGCTCGTGCTGACTCTGCCCATCCTCGCCCCACATTTGCCACCTGCTTTTGGGGCTCTGCATTCAGCAGCCTCCACCGCGCTGGCTGCTCAGTGGTGACAAGAGAGCCCGGACACCCGGTGGCCTCTTGTCACCACAGAAAAACCTCTCTGCAGAGCTGGACTGACTTAAAAGGCTGATAGGAGACAGGGAAAGGAGGATGAGAAACAACCCGGGGGGAGTTAAGCCCAATTTCCCAACTTTTTTTTTTTTTTTTTTTTTTCTTTTTAATGCTTTGAAATGCAAGCTTAGGGGAAAAAAAGCCATTCTCACATATCTGGAAGGTAGTTCCAGGAGGCAGAGGACTCTGGGTGCTCCGAGCAACCTGGTCGCCTCCAACATGACCTTCCCGGGTGGCCATGGGCAGAGCAGGAGGCTCCGCGCAGGGCCCTTCCAGGCTTCTTCCGACCCGAACCAGCCGTGACACAGAGCTCCCACCCGGCACACAGGGCAGCTCCCAACAGCAGCAGCAAAACTCCCTCCTCAGCGCTGTCCCCTGGCTCTGCCCGCCACCAGCACGGATGCAGTCACCATTGTGTCCAACGGGGTCACACAGGGATCGCCGGGACGCGCGCGGACGGCGCAGCCTGCACCCGGGTCACGCTCGAAGCCGCCCGACGCGTCCCCGCGCGCGCGGGAGGGCTCTGCAGCCCCGCTCCCCCCAGCCTCCCTTGGAAGAGCACCAGAGCGGTGGAAAAGCAGGATTGCACCGCGGGAGAGACCCGTCCCTCTTCCCTATGTGACGGGGTGGGGGGACAAGGCAAGAGGGTGGAGGGGAAGTGAGCACAAACAAAACACAGAAACAGAAAGGAGGAGGGAAGGAAAGGTAGAGATGGGTGGCCTGCAGCCAGTATCTGCTCAGATAAATTCCACACTCCTTGAAATTGGCTGATCTCCAAAAAAAACCCATTTTAATCTAAGACCACGAGACGCCTTTGCAAAGCGCTCCCCGGGGAGGCCGCGGGACATCATTCACATCCCGAGCGGCCGGAGCGGCGCGCGGGGCCGTCCGTGCCGCAGCCCCCGGCCTCCCCAGCGCCCGCTGCTCGCGCACACGCGCGTTCCCAGGCCCTCGCGATCCCGGTGCAGCTCCCAGGGGAAAAGCAGCCCCGCGCATGCACCCGAGCAGGGTCCTGCGGCGTCACCCCCGGCCCGGGGGCAGCAGGGCTGCGACGCGGCCGTTGCGCCGCACGCCGGCAGCG